AACAATTTTAGTAAGGTGGAGAACAGAAGAACGATGGCGAAGACAGCTCGAGTAGCATCCAAAGTTAGATAAGCCAGTTGTTCAATAGCATCCTCCGTGTCGTGATGCATAGCTCTTATTTGTGCTGCTGCACTCTTGAGTTTTTTGTATCCTACCGCGATTTGGAAATTTTCAGCAAATTGTTGGAGTCCCGATTGCGCCACCGCAAAGTGTGCCCCGAAGCCGTCCTTTAAACCAATGTTGTAACCACTACTTCCGCATTCCGTTTTTGCCTTTTCCAGGGCTTCACCAGTTGGACATGCGGTACCCTTGGTAACGTAAGATGAACACCAAGGTCCAATGAAAAGAGGAAGACCAGTAGAGATGACAGCAGAAGTTTGTATGCGATAGCAAGCTGTGACAGCAGCCACATTGCATTGTTCGGTGCGAGCCTGCTGCATTGCCATGCAGGCCTTCATGAGACGAGCACGCATTTTACTGTCAATCTTGTGGCCCAAAGCTAGGGCGCTGGTGAGGACTCGGCTCTCGTTTCTTCCTAGGTTGAGGTTCTTTACAGCAGCAGCCATCTTCGCTTGCATTATTTTCCTGCGCATACGCATTCTTTCTTTCTCTGAGGTGTCCATCTCGTCCAGGTGACGCCTAAAGGACTCACTAACTCCTGCATTCGTCGCTTGGATGTCAGCGTTCGATTGTGTCGTCTCCATAGTTTTGGTAGCATTACTTTGCGTAGCGTCAGTGGCAGGTGATGCTTCGGGGTCCTTCAACAACTGAGCAAATGGTATAAAAGTCAATCGAAGGGAAGTCAGCTCAAACTTTTTTCACTGTGTGTTTACCATCAAATTAGAAGTTGGAAGGACAGCCAATCAATTTAGTCTTGACAGCTAATTAATCTTTCACAAATTCGAGAATAAAGCCAACTTTAAAACAGCCTAAAATGCCCAATGTTCTCTCTTATTCTTAAATTTCATAGTCTATAGGGAAGCCAATGTTTAGCACAGTCTTTGTTCATTTTGGTAGTTCAAATGCAACTTGTCGCTTTACGTGAACCCCTCCTAAAGATCAAGGAT